ACACAATAGAGTTGGGAGGGTGTAGATGGTGACCATGCAGCAGGTTAGACCCTCTAGGGAGAGTGGAGACGGAAGAGGCCGGGCGCTGTCCTTGAGGTTTGACCTTGAGAGGTTTTGAAGGGAGGAAGGCAGAAGCCCCAGCACCCAGGGTACCGGCTGCCAGTTACGGTGGTAAGAGGTGTTGGGAGAACTCGGTTTTGCACTGCAGAGGTAGATCCGTTACTCTCTGCGTTCGGGAATCGCCACAGAAGCACCTGCTCAGGTCGCCTGGTTCATCTCACGTGGACAGGGAGACGCTTGCTTTTGGAGGAAGGAAAAAGCTGTTAGGGTGCTTGGGGAGAAAATCTCTGGTCTCAGGTTGATGTGGATTTTGCTCCTCCTCCTGGGGGTGGGTGTGTGTGTGTCCCACAAAAGCAAGCTCTCGAGGCAGCTCCTCTGCAGTGGCCCAGAACACTGGGGGTGCTCAGAAAGACTGCTGTCCTGTGAGCCCCACCTTGGAGGTCCCCAAGATGCCTCTCTGAGCACAGAAATGGGTCTTGTGAGTCTAGGATGCTCATGTGGCCAAGACGTATCCTGTCCCGTGGCTCAAGGCCGGGCCTGGTTCAGGGTCTGCTGTGCAGGCGTCCAGATCTGGATGAGGCGAGGGGACCCAACCTCGCCCCGTTCCTGGAGCACCTGCGAGGCCAGACATGAGCCAGGTGCAGCAGTGGACAGACGTGGACCCCAACCCTGACCTCCCGGCCATGACGTGGAGAGCCAAAGGTCAGCTGGCATCCTGGGGGCCTTCCAGAGAGATCTGCTGGTGAGAGTGCAGGTGTGCCCTTTAACCAGGGCAGAGGTGGGCCAGAAGGGCGGCCGTGGCTCATGGCTGCCGTGGCTCATGGCTGCCGTGGCTGCAACAGGACGAAGCCAGGACAGCCCCTCCCTCCAGAGACCCAGCAGGGGCTGCCGCCCTAAGTAGGCTTCAAGACGGGCAGGTCAAGGGATCTCTGAGTCGCTGATGGGGGACGATGGTGGACCAAGAAGGCTTCTCTGGGTCCAAATTCCTTTCCCAAAGAACAAGGAGTGAGTGGGGCAGAGGATTGGAGTGGCCTGCGTGGGCAAGGCTCAGGGCGGGGACAGGTGAGCTGGGAACAGGTACGGGGCGCAGGGCGGGGACAGCCCCACCTGCATTAGGAAAGCAGGCTCGCTGGAGCCTGGGGTGGGGGCGGTGGGGGGCAGTGGAGGGGCGGGGACCACGCCTGGACAGGTCTGGGGACTCCTGGGCAGTCCCTGGGGAAGCCTCTGCTCTGTCCCCTCCAGTGCCGGGGGCATCCCACACCAGGAGGGGGCGTTTCCTGCTCCTCCATCTGGTTTAGGGAGACGGGGACTTGAGTGCAAGACACCTCCCCCAAGGAGCTGAGGTGGGGACGGGGGTCATTGCTCAGGGAGACCAGAAGCTGGGGTTGGAGGTGGGTGGGACGGAAGCGCAGGGACCAACACCCTGGGCCTGGCTGAAGCACCTCCACAGCCCTCCCCAGGGGCGGGTTCTGGTGCCGCTGTTCAGTCACGGTGACAGGGCCCTCTGCCTGGACAGGCACAGGGTGCCGGACACTCTGCCTCCTCGAGCTGCCCGAGGCCTGGCTAATATTCTGGGGGGACGGCTGGCCATCCAGGTATCTGGTAATTGATGCCAGGTGTGGTGCAGCCACACACCCCTGACCCCATGAGGACAAAGGACACAGTGATGATGAGTGCAAGGAAGGACCTAGGACAGGCAGGAAGGGCAGGTGGACGGGTGGCATCCACGTCGGGACACCTGGTGCCAAGGTGAGCTGAGCGGATTCTCGCCTCCTTCCTAGGGGAGGCGCGTCTCGCTGAGCTCTCGTTTCCCGGGGCCCACCACACCTGCTGGGGGAGGGGAGCCTCCTGGGGGAGGCCACGTCCAGGCTGGGACACTGCAGCCCGAGCCCTCTGCGATACCACCACTCCAGCAAGCCGGGCTCCTGGTTAGGTCTGCAGTGCTGTGTGGCCTCGGGCACGTGCCTCCGACTCTCTGGGCCTTGGTTTCCTCTGGTGTTGCTGTTGTCACAGCTGCTTGGAGCCTGGATGTCCCTTTGATAGATGATGAAGGGGAGGCTTTGGTGTCTCTCAGGACTGACTGGTCCTCGTCATTCCAGGCATGCACATGCCACGAGAGCTGGAGCACGGGGTAGGCCTCGGGTTGAGCCGTGGCGCGTCCTTAGGCGCTCAGCAGACCCTGGCAGGTGTGTGCCAATTTCGCAGCTCAGGGCTCCATGGACACCGCGCACCAAGGGCCCTGCCTCTGGGCTCGTGTCCTGGGGGAAATGGACAGCTGCCCTCCCTGCCAGCAGGGAGGGGCCACCTGGACGAGGGACAGAGAGGTCAGGAGGTGGCTGGGCACTGCACGGGCAGGGTGGCTGCTCTCACTGGATGTCCCAGTATGGGGTGGGGTGGGGGTTCTGATGCTCCCCTGGGGATTCTAGCCTGGAGAAGGGCCTGGGGTCTGCTCTGGGGCTCTCGGTGCCACTCTCTGGGCTGGGTTTATGCCAGGTGGTGACGGGACTGTTTATTCTGTTGGAAATCACTTCTGTCCTCCCCGTGGAGTTGACCAGGAGGGGGAGGACTTTAGCTGGGTTGTGACTGGAGAGTGGCATGACCCCTATTAAAGGTCACATGGGCTCTGAGGGGAGGGGACCTACGGGACCTGATGGTGCCCTGTGGAGTAGGGAGGAGACAGGAAGCGGGAGGGAAGGGGCAGGGGGAGCCGGGGCATGGGCTGCTCTATAGAAAGGGGGGAGTCGGCTAATGGGCCTGTGAGATGGGCTGCTGGTCAGGCCGCTGGACGCGAGACTGAGGCTGACAGGCTGGGGTCGCTGGGCTGTGCCATTGCTACAGCAGCCACCGTCACCTCCTGCAGCGGGTGTGTCCAGCGCAGGCTGGGGCCGGTGTAAGATGCACAGGTTTACAGATTTAGAACCCCCGGAGAAAAATGCGCTCTGAAAACAGTGCTGTCAAAATGTGGCCCTGAGGGTTGAGTAAAATAGTCTTCATGACACAGGGAGTTCTAAACGATACCTGTGGCTCACGTGACATTGCTGGGGACAGCAGTGGTAAAGATGGCACAGAGGTCACCCAGGATGGGTGTGGGACAAGAGCAGAGGCCTGCGCCCATGGCCTGAGGCCAGCACCACCCTTGTGGCCCCAGGGACTGTGTCCCCTTGTGGACACAGGGACTGCAGAGGTCGGTGAGGGGCAGCTGAGAAGGTAGCAAGCCCAGAGCGCTGCCCTTGAAGCAGGCTTGGGGACACTTCCTCTGTGCTATGTGACAGCCTGGGTGCGTGGTGAGGGCTGGGGGGGGGGGGTCTCCAGGCATGAGTGCAGGGGTTCCAGATGCCTGGGGAGTCACGGTGGCTGCAGCCCGTGAACTGATGCTGGGGAAGTGGCGGTTGCAAGGATGTGGCATGAGGCGTTGAAGTGGGGGCAGCTGCCGTGGGAGCACTGGCCTCAGCTGCTGGGGACAGAGGAGCGAGTGGAAAACCAATTCCAGGAGGGCAGAGTTGCGGGTGAGAGGCCGAGCGGTGGCTGGGGCAGGGTGGGAGGCAGCTGTCCCCACCCTCGGGTTGCAGGCAGACGGCAGGAGGACTGTCTGCCTGTGTCATGGGAGGGACCCCTGCTGATGGCTCTGGGCAGATCCTCCCGGGATGCCCCTCCTCCCTACTCGCCTTGGGGACTGTACCCAACCTAGGGACTTTGGAGGTCACATTCCTGCTGCAGCTTGTGGCTTTCAGGATGAAGGTAGTGTGAAACGGGGAAATGGAGAAAAAGGGGTTGACAGAGGGAGAAAGAAAGGTTGACAGGGAGGGGAGAAAGAAGGGAACTCTGTGCCCAGCAGAGCGCCATACTGGGAAGTGGCTGGGAGCAGAGTCCCTGAGCAGCCGAGGACAGTTTGCTCAATACCAGGCTGGAACTCAAGGATGCGGGAGCCTGGGATCAGCTGGGGTGTGGCCAAGGTGACCCAGGCTGTGCAGGACAGAGCCATCCCTAGGTGTTCATCCACCTGGGACTGGGTGGCTCAGTCAGCACTTGGACACCTCCTCGGCTCAGAGGACAAGCACCCACGGTGCTGGGCAGTGGAAAGTTCTGGAAGTAAGCGGGGAGCTACAGGGCCTGGCAGGGCACTCACACCACCCACCTCTGGACTCCGCCTTTGCCCTCCACCTCCAGTGTTCCTGGGCTCAGGGCTGCCCACAGGGACACCCTAGTGGCCCTGGGTGAGGACCCTCCGTCCCCTCATCCCCTTGGGCAGCTCTTATCTGGAGAGCCTTCCCTGGCTGTGACTGGTACAACTTTGAAGCCCAGGTATTTAGGGAGGGGCACAGGGCGTGGCTTTCTCTTCCTCCTGGTCTCGGGTTAAAGGCCACTTTGCCCAAGAGGACTCCCAGGTCTAGCTCCTTGGCTCTTGGCCACTAGTGGCTAGAGACCAGGGACTCCACCAAGCAGGCTGCAGTGCAGGGGTTGAGGCCTGGTCTGCGAGAGACCTCTGCCCCGCTATTCTTTCTCCAATTGCTGTTAATACCAAAGGATAAACTTGCTGCCATCTGAAACAAAAAAAAAACAAAAAACAGAAAACAAAACAACTCTGTCCCTCTGCCTCACCATGAATGTACGTCTAACACGGGGGGGGGGGTCCCTTTTGGTCTTGATCCCTGCCCTGTGCCCAGTACCTGGTATACAGTAGGTGCCTCGTACTTACGATTGCTCCTGTCCACTCAGATGAGGAGGGTTTTGTTTTCTTGGTGTGGAATTTTGATCCTTCAGCTCCACCCAGTGACATGGTAACTCTGGGATTTTATTCCATTTAATTCAAGCAAAATTGGGATGAGTTGACAGACTCTGGCTGTCACGTGGACTGGTGAGGGAGCTTTCTCAGGATGTTTGTTAGCAGTCCACCTCAACCTTGGTGGCTGATAAAGAGCTGAGACATCAGAGTGAGCATGTGACTTACAAAATGTCGCCGTTTTTATTTTGTCACTGTAAAGAGGTTTAATCAACCAGATTGTAACAAAATTACCACAGCTTATTCCAAAAGAAAATTTTAATACAAGAGATTTTAGAAAATTAAACATTTTTGTTTAAAAATTCTATCGTGTAAACCATAACGTAAGAGGGTAGTTAGGAGCCTGCCCACTGAGGCCCACTCTGTGCCCTGGTCACCTCTGCCCAGGCTCGGGGGCCCAGGGTCTGTGCTCAAGACTCCTCTGTCAGGGCCAGGTGAGGCCCACCCCCCCTGCCCAGGCTGCAGTGGTCACGCCATCCTTTCTAGGTGACTGAGATGATGAAAGGCCAGTTAGTTCCTCTGCCACCCTCGGAATCCCCGCTCTCCAGGCAGAGAACCGGGGATGGCCTGCATGGGTCAGCTAGTGGCTTCCAAGCAGGGTGGGACACGGGCAGTGGAGGGAAGCAGAGCCCTGGGCCTCCAGCGGCTTCTAGTGGGTGTCCCCGTGGCACAGGTTCACCCACTTTGAGAGAATGTGGATTTCTCTCCTAATACAACCTTCAGGTCCAGGGAGGCCTGTTGAACTTGTAATAATTGAGGGACAGAACTTTGAGCCCCCAAAATTGAGACGTGGCTGTCACGAGACACACGGGGGAACCGGAGCCCTTCGAGGACTGGGGCGAGCTGTGGGGTCTGGTCTGCTTGGAGCTAGGAGCCTGAGGGTGCACCTCGTTCCTATGATCCAGTAGCCGAGGCTTTGTTACAGAAACATAATCGAAACTGTTACAGAAACATTAAAATGAACTTTTTGGCACAGAAATGTTAGATAAAATATACAGTGCTACCTTTGTGCAGGATTAGCTGATCGGAATAGCAAATATTTAACATTAGCTTTATGATGTAATGCACAATATTTTGAAAAACGTTCATTACAAAAGACCTTGTTCGTAAGTGGGTGCCAAGGGCCCGGCCTTGTCCAGGGTGAAGTGCTGAGCTGTCGGGACAGTTATTGCCTTTGGGGTTGAGACGCGAGCGTGAGGCTCTCCTGGGACGCCCTCCCAGCCAGGCTGCCTCATGGGGCAGGGATGCCAGTGGCCAGGTCTTTCTCGGGCAGGGTCTGGCCCATCAGTCGCACACCAAGGCCAGAAGGTGCTGCTGGAGCGGGGGGGCGGTGGGGTGTCCAGAGGCTGACAGTGCTGGGGAGGGCGTTTAGGGGGACCCCAGAGAACAGGGCCTGGCCTTCATGGGACAGGTCAGCTGGTGTCTCTAGGCTGCAGACAGGTGGAGCAGGAACATGGCCTGCAATGCTGTGACCCCATCCTCAGAGTGACAAATTGTCCCATGCAGAACTGAGAGAAAGCAAGGGCCCCAGATTCGGGCATCAGGAAACGCAGCCCACAGCTGCTGTGCAGGACCCACCGAGAGGACGGTGGTCATCCTTCCTATGCGTTGTCCGGCTGGCACCAGGTAGGCCTCTGTTATCAACCGGACAGATAGAATGGTGGCAGGTGGGGTGTTGTGCCTTTAAAAAACAGGCGACGAAAGCTCAGAGTTCAGTGGGGGTTACGTGTGCGTTGAACGCCTGTGAGGGGATGACTGCCATTCCAGGGCTTCCAAGATCAGAAGCGGGGGCAGACCGCAAACCATGGGATTCCCGTAGCCTTTGGGCACATCCTCTTACAATTCACGTCATGGAGAGCTGGACCCACTTTCCATGAATAACTAAAGGACAAGCAGACAGTTGACTGTAGCTCTCGGGCGATTTCTTTGAAGTTCATGTGCAGAATGTTGTTGAAGGAGGTTCCTGGTGGGGTGGCTGGGGAGGGCAAGGCCAGTGCACTCCTTGCCTGCTGATCGGGTGTCTGAGGAGGGTCCACCCTATGGAACACAGCAGGACAAAGAGGCCATCTCGGCGTAGACCCCCTGGTCAGGGGAGATGGTGGACAGACAGTCCTGCAGCCAGCCCCTGCCCTCGAGGGCTGTGTGTTCACAGGGGCCAGGGCTGCTCTGCTCAGTGAGGCCGCGTACGCCAGCAATTCTGGCACCTGCAAGCTGACGGCAGGGCCCCACGAAGCCCTCGGCTGCCTCTTGCTCTGCTGGGCATGTTGATGGCTTCCCTGTCCGCACTGGGGACCCTGCCACAGGAGTCTTCTGGGTGATGCTTCCTTAGGAAGTGCTCTGTGCTCACACCGGTGGCTCATTGAGATTTCAGCCAATGAACGGAGAGGGTTCAAGCACAAGCCCACAATGGCCTTGCATGACCCCTCCCTTGCCTGTCATCCATGCAGGCCACGATGGCCCAGTGGGCACGGGGCCACACACTCTAGCCCAGCCCTCGCACAGGCCCTCAGTGCGGAGGTGCCATGATTCTGAGGTGGAGCCACCTGACCCAGGCTGGCAGAGGACCGAGGGGGCTGCTGCGCTGTCATCCTGCTCCCTGTGACAGGAGGGACAAGGGTTCCATTCCCACTGGAAGGGGACAGATGGCGCATCACAAACTGTCTTTGGGGAACAATCATGATCTGTTCAGGTGCCGTTTACAGATGGATCTGGGTCTGATAAACCTGCACTGCTCCCCCAAGCCAGGTCCATGACCTGAGGCCAGCAGTGCCTGGCCAGGCCTGGGTTGGAGGTTCGGAGCCCACACCCAGCCCGACGAGCTGCATCGTGGCCTCAGGGTTCCTAGGTGGTGCTACTTCCTGCAGCCAAGCACCCAAGTTCAATGTCACTGGTGGCTCCATCACAGTCTGTGGGAATGTCTGCCCACAGGAGTGATACCACCGGGGTGTCCAGTGACCACTGATGGAGGGTAACAGAGCTCTGTCTGTCCATAGGGTACAGCCAGGTGGTCAGGTTCAAAAGAGGCCAATTCCCGCGTGGGAAAGAGGCTCGGGTGGTTTCTGAGGGGACTGCCTGTGGAGCCTGGGCACTGTGCATTCTACCTGGGGACCCCCAGCCCGAGCAAGGAATAGGTGGCTTTGCTGCCCTTGGCAAGCAGTGGCCAGTCTGTCCAACGAGGAACCGCCGCACTCTCAGGACAGGGGCCTGGCAGCTCTGAGACTGACCAGTTTAATCAGGGTGGCATGTGGCCGGCAGGAAAGGTGTGCTCTCTGGGTTGACCAGGTAGACGTGGTCATCACTCCAAAGTGTCAGGCCAGCTGCCATGGCCAAGTCAGGGACAGAGTGGCTGGGATCTGGATTCTGCTGAGGTCAGAGGTCACCGCTCTGGGGCTCCACGTTGCGCATCTCCCTGGGATGACCACGGGACAGCTTGGGGAAGCGGGAAGCCGCTTTGGGCCGGCTGTTCTTGTTCAGGGGCTCTCCGGGAGGGGTGATGTCACTGTAAGACAGGAGGAGAATCGGATGGTTAGGGGCTCACAGGCATGGGGGGACAGCCACTACTCAGCTGAGTGGGGAAATGGGACGCTGAGTGCTATGACACTGAGGATCCACCCAAGCCAGCTGTGTGTCTGAGCAGGCTCATGAGGCCACATTCTGGACCCCATTTTAGGGTCATGAAGTAATGCAACCACCTTGATCTCCCAGCAAGGGCACGTTTCACAGCCAAAGAGGAGAAACTTCTCTGGAAAACATGTATTTAAGGTCGTAAAAAATACGTAGCAAGAGACAGGACCCACAGGAGGGGACACTGATGTCACCAAACGCCTACCCAAAAGGATGGCCTGCAGACAGGAACCTGCCGCCTTTGCAACCCCAAGGGTAGTTACGACTCGGCACTGGAAGAACGTGCTAACGCACAGTCTGGTGGGTGTGGCGCCAGCAGCTCCTGCTGAGTCCAGCTGCAGGATTGTCATTCTCTTTGCCATCAGGGCTCTTTAGTTTTGTGAGAAAGGGAGACACTTGGGGGGGGAGACGGGGCTGGTCAGGGGTGACCTCTCCCACGAGCTGACATCTGAGCTAGGGTGTGAACTCGAGATGAGGGTGGACTTAGCCACAAGGTCTTCTGGTGGAGCGAGAGGGTCTGCAAGGTGCGGGGGGTCCCGGCAGCAGAGCTGTGGTGTACATGTGACCTAAAGACGGTATCAGAGGAAATTCGTTGAACAGTGGACAGAGTGAAGATGGAGACGGGGTCTGGGAATCACTGATGTGTTCTAATCTCTGCTCCAGTGGGTGGCACTGGACTCGGTGATGCCCAGAGTGGCTTCAAGGTCACGTTGACTGTGGCTCTGAAACCCCAACAGGCCCATCCCCTGTTCCTTACCTTGAATCCACAACCCCAGCCCAGCCTCCTGCGCTGCCCTCCAGGTCCGCTACAGTGCCACTGGCTCCTGGGAGTGCCCAGCGCCCCGAGCGCCAGGCCTGTCTGACTCAGGCCGCCTCCTGTGTGGTCCCTCAGCAGCCCAGAGCTGATCCTCAGGAGAGCTCTGGCCGTGTTTGTAACCCAAACCTTTACAACACGAGCCTCCTGTGGACTGGTGCTGTCTGAGTTTCCACAGGGTCCTGCACCCTCAAGATCAGATCCCAACAGTCCCCTTTCAATACGGCTGGCGATTCTGAGTGTCCTCCACAGGTTTCCTCCCAGAAAGTGGGACGCCTTCTACTTGAAGGGTCTGCTCATCACAGACACAGCTCCCGCTCCCTCTCACAGGGGAGATATGGCAGGAGACCTCCCCGCCCCCTCCTTATCTCGGCTCTTCAGCTGCTCTGCACTTTTTGAAACAGACCTCTTCATTATTTTCAGGAATAGGTAGCTCAGAAAGTGGTGCAAAGTCGAAAAGTGAGTCCGCCCCACCCTGTCCTCCAGGCAGCCAGAACTATCATCTGAAAAAAAATTTCAAAGAATCTTTCTAGAGCTATCTACTGCGCCCAGGAGCGTACATGATAGAGTGGATGGATAGGATACTTACTGATTGATTGTCCTTTCTAAAGACAGGGGAGTATTCGCTGCTGCGACTTCTCCCTCCTGTGACGCAAGCATGGAGAGCTGTCACTTCAGAGATCGGCCGTGTCATTCTGGTGCCAGGGTTGGCAAACTTTAAAGGGCCAGAGGTAAGTGTTGTAGGCTTGGGGACCACCTGGTCTCTGTTGGAGCACTGTGTGTGAGCGGGAGTGGCTGTAGCCCAGGAGCGGGTGGAAGGCAGGACTTGGCCAGCTATCTAACCCCTGGGCATTAATCACAGCTGTATGACCACACGGTACCAAGGAGGCGAGGCCGCACCCTGCTCCTCACCCCCAGGTCAGGCTAAATGCTGGACAGACCTTGCTTGGCGACTCCTTCAGCCCAAGCAGCATCCGGAACACTAGCACGCCAGGCGCTAGATCCACCTTAAGTGGGTTCTCTAGAGCTGGGTGCAGCCCTCAGGGTGGTGCAAGGGAGGCATCGGGCTGGGCGTCCCAGGCGAGGCCCTGTCTCCACCCCTCACCACCATGCTGACTTGAGTAAGCGGCAGACCTCCACCTCTGAGCTCTTCCCTCTGCTGTATGCCCAAGACCTGCCCAGCTGACCTCGCAGCTGCAGGCCCAGTCCCTGCCCACCACCCCTCTCTTGCCCCACTCTTTTCCTGGTCCCCTTCACAGTTGCCAACCCAACCTGTGCCTGGGGTAGAGTTGGGATCGCCTAGTTTTCTGCCACCCTGGAGCCAGGCCCTGCCTGTCGAGTGCTATGTAGTCTCCCCAAGCCCCTGGCACAGCAGGTGCTGCAGGACCCACACCCAGGGCCCAGGAAGACGGGTCCAGGCTCTGCTGGAGCCCCTCTGACTATCTCAGGTTTCTGCCGAGTTGGGACTAGAGGATGTGCCTGGTGTAGCTTGGAGAGGGGATACTGGATGGTGAGTGTGTGAGGCTTAAGGGAGGGCTACCAACGGTGCCACATAGAGGGCCTCATGGCACCAATTCTAGAAGAAATGCAAACTATAGTGGACTGTCCTCTGAGATGGTGGCCTTAGAAAGTGTGGGACCACCACTGAGGACTGGATGGCAGCAGGCAGGGGAGCTGGCAGGATCGGGTTTCCCGTGCCGCTGGGTACAAGTCACCCGGAGCCTTCAACCCCAGTTGGAGGTCACGGGTCCAAAACAGGCCTCACAGTGCTAAAATCAGGGTGACAGAGGGTATGCAGGGCCCAGATGCAACCAGAAGGCACAGGTGTCCTGGGCAGCCTCCTCCCTGTGTGGCAGGGTGAGGTCTAGGCCTGGTGCCATGCATGCCCACCCTGCGGCCACCCCTTTGTGGGGGAGCATTTAACCCTCCTGGTCACCTGCTGGGATTGAAAGATAGGCCAAGAGGCCGAGTGTGGGGGGACCTGGCCCAACCCTTCAGTGTCCCACCTGTGACCTGTTGAGGGCGCCTCCTCACAGGATTGGGCCTCTGGAGCCACAAGTTACTGCTTAATTACTTACTGGATGTGGGTTGAAGAGTGAGCCCCTCCCCCCACACTGCCATGTCAGGGGTCTAAGGCACCAGGCTGTGGCTTCTCTCTTCCTGCCACGATTGCCTGTTGTAAATTGTAAAGATGCCAATTGTAAAGATCCCTTTTCTTAGGGGGCAGGAGAGAGTGCTGCTGTCTGGTCACATCGCACCTTGGCCACTCACCGTCTGTAGGCTAGCAGGGCAGGATGTTCCTTTCTCTCCTTCCCAAGAACATGTGACTGGAGGTGCGACACCTAGTCCAGACGCAGTGAGCACGCATCCCTGGTAAACGTCTGTCGTGTTATCAGCTGGACCCTGCGCTCCCTGGCGACATCTGTAGCTCCCCTTACACCCAGAGGACAGCGGGAGAACTCTGACTTCTCTGGGCCTCCAGTTACTCTCGAGTTACTGGGACTGGCTATCACACCTCTGGTTCCTTGTTGCCCAAACTGAGTAACGGTGACCACCCTCTAAAAACTTGTGAGGAACTGAGCTGGAGTACGTACAGCATCTAGCCGGGTATGGGCGCAGCACCTGCAGTGAGGCCCGGGCCCTGGGGGGCCTTCCCAGGTCATCCGTCTCGGGGACTCTCTGCCCCACTCAGGGCCATGGAGTGGTGCTGCAGCAGCAAGGCCACACTCTAGCCACCTGCCCCCTGGCTCCTGAAATGCCACACCAACAGCCCTGAGACTGAAGGTGGGGAAGGGCCTCCATGGTCACTCCCAGGGTCAGACGGGGGCCTTTCTCACCACCAATGGCATTTCCCAAGAATTACTGATCAGCTTCATCTCAGCCCAACCTGTTCAACTGGCACAGCCCTGAAAACATGCTGATGTCACCTGGGGGCCCGGCCCAGTTGAAGCCTTGGAGGACACAGGCTTGGCCCCAAGATCCATGCTTGAACTTGGTAGCACCTCCCGTTGCTGCCTCAAGGAACCTGTCACTCAGCTAGGAGGTGCCCATACTTCTGCTCTCCCAAGAAAGATGCCTTATTTCCTCTCATTCACTGCAACTCCCACACCTGCTCAGGTGACAGTGCTGCCCCCACCTTGGAGGTAAGGGAGGTGAGGGGGATACAGTTATCATAGGCATCTGGCTACTTGGTGGAAAGTCCAGTATCTTCCCTCCTGCCTGGGCTCAGCCAGGCCTGTCCTGATGTCAGCCTGCTTTTGAGAGTGCGGATGGCGAGGCCCCGGCAGGTTGTGCTCTCTACAGCTGTGCCTTTGATACCTTAATGGCTCAAAAGGCACCATGTGGCCCCAGGAGAGACTATCAGGGGGAGACCTGATGGTGTTTACAGGGCGAGGGGGCGTTCTCAAAGCTGCCTTGCTAGGGTGGCCCTGGCCTGGAGCTTTGCACTCTTGGGCTATCTGTCCCCAACCCTCTGTGCACCAGCCACCCCCTCATGGATTCCAGCATGGCGGGACAGCATCCCCCAAAGCCCCACCACTGGTGAGGATGTGACTGGTCCCAAGCCTGCAGTGCAGCTTTCCCCAGTCCTCACTGGCCCCTGGCCAAGGTGCAGAAAGTGTTCGAGGCTGGAAAGGCCTGGACCTCATGTTGTTGCCTGCAGCACCTTCGCCTGTGGCTTCTGGGGCCCCGTTTGTGCACCGTCTTCTGCCAGCTCCTCCTGTGCTCAGTCCTAGATCCCTCACCAGGCCTGTGGCATGACAGGGCCCCTGTTCATGGGCCCAGCCTGCACCTCTGTGCCAAACTCCAGGCTCCAAGGCCACTCGATGGCTCTGGGGGACTGACGGGCATCTCTCAGTGCAGCGCCTCAAGGCCACCTCTCACACCCGCCCCTGCAGTAAACAGCAGCTCTGTTCCTCATGCCAACACTGGGAACATGTCCCAGACTCCTCACATCCCCACTGAGCAGATCTTGTTGGGCCTGCCTTCAGAGTGCAGCAGGTCACGGCCCAGCCCTCCCAGCCTGGCCAAACACCATCCTGTGACTGTTTCTTTCTCCTCCT